TCATTTGGGATGTTACTTGATGAAAATATTGAATTTGAAATGAAATTTTTATCAGCTATAAATTGTGCAATCTATCTCTTCAATCTAAAAGGCACATCATTGCTGGGTTAATTTATGTTCAAAAATCTTGAAGTTAATTTCTTTGGACTACCCCCTCGAAGGAAAATAGTTATTTAGTTGAAGTTCCTAGCATGTAGAGTTGTAGAATGTAGATAGAAGAAGTTTGTCCAAAAAAGTTTTATAATGTAAGAGCTCAACAACAGTCTTTGTATTACATCTCAATGATAAACTTCCCAAAAAATATCCTATGAAGAGAGAGTTCAAGTGCGTCAGTTCGTAAGCACTCTACAATCTGCCACTAAGGTAATTCTCTTTGAGAGTCTGAAGTGCTTCTCTTATCAAATCTTCATCATGATTAAAGTGCTTCAAGCATATTAGCCTCTATGCCACACGGTAAAGCATCTGAATGGTATAGTATTGCAATTCATTCACCTCCATCTTCTTAGCTTCCTTCACAAAATAATATTCAAATGTGACTACTAGACAACATAAATCTTTCTGACATATTGAAAGAGTCAAACCATCTTGAGAGGCTAGAAGTTTAGTACATGTTGATATTAAGAGCGAAAAATGACTTTACAATGTTCTACTATTTGTTAGGTTCTAATTCGGTTGCAGAAAAAGAGAGAAATAAAGTTGTTCTTAGGCTGAATTGAAAATACAAAATCACAGGGCCATCAAAATGAAAATGTAAAAATAAATGAAACTCGGGTTTATTAGTGAGTAAAATTGTCTTTTTCTTTTGTCCTTTTAAAGGTGCAACTGTAAGTACATATTTTTAAGTTGAATATGATATTTTCAGTTGCTTGAATATGTTGATCATAGGGTTTGGAAAGGCGATTGAACTGGGCAACTAGCTAATCAAAACCCAATCCTATAGCTCTTGTAGAATAAAAACTTTGCATTTTCTAAAATGATGGTATACCCTTCATGAACTATGCTTAGAATGTTTTATTGATTTGGTAGCGTAAGTAGAGGATACTTATCTGTTGATTGTCCTGTTTTTACTAACCTGTTACCTCGAGAACAATGGACTTTCAGGGTTTCATCCTTTCATCTCATACATCCTATGGGAAAATTAATATCAATGTTGAAAGTTTGAAACTGTCATGAGTTGCTGCAGGTCTTGGTCGAAATGGTTTTAATTGTTTTGGTTAGCTTATTCGGCTGTTTTAACTATTTGTTTGTGTTTTACGGCTTCTGTTGCTGTCTTTTTAGCTTTCTTTGTTCCATTATATAGCAGGCGTACCTAATAGAATTACATATTACAACTCAAAAATTACTGAGGCTTCAAAGTATGAATTCTAGCATATCTGTTGTTTATAGGAACTATCCTTTTTCTTCTCACTTCATTTCAACATGCTAGTTTCCACCCTGCTTGCTATTTTACAAAAAAAATGGCATCCCCCCTCTTTCTCTGCTCACATTTGCATTGATACGTTAGTAGTGAAGGTTACTTGATGTGTTTGTCTAAAATACGAACTAAAATAAAGTGAGATGTTTGTCATTCTTTTAATTTAACTTTTTTTTTCATTTTAGTTTTTGTGACTTAGATAAAATAACTCTCTGAATTCGAACCCGAAAGAATGGATGGTGGAACTAAGAATTGGTGGATGTTTGCCAAATGGAGTGATGAATATGAACGGGGAGTAGACGAATATGTCAAAAAGGCTTTTGCTACTAAGTCTCAAGGAAATCAAATATGTTGTCCTTGTTCACTTTGTCATTATCGTTTTTGGCGTGAAGAAGGTGTTGTGAGAGATCACCTAATTTGTAATGGTTTTGTTCCAAGAACGGATAAGTTATCAGATTTAGGGATCAATATCCAAAGAGAAGAAACTATTTTGGATAGGGATGAAGGGTCAAACCCAAATGAGTCTGACGATGACATAGTAGGGTTGTTGCATGATGCACGTGATGCTTTTATAGAGGGGCCAAATGATGAGGCAAAAAATTTTTTGAGGTTAGTTGAAGAAGGCCAGGAAGAATTGTATCCTGGTTCCAAAAATCATTCAAAACTTTCCTTTATGATTCGCCTTTTTATTTTGAAGTGTGATCATAAGCTTACCAATGCTGCATTTGGAGATATATTGGAGCTTATAAGGGAGGTGCTGCCTGATGCAAAGTTGCCTACTTCTTTTAACGAAGCGAAAAGTGTTTTGAAAGTGTTGGGGTTGGATTATACAAAGATCGATGCATGTCCAAATGATTGCATTATATATTGGGAAGAGCATGAAAATGCAACAAGCTGCCATGTTTGTAAAACGCCAAGATGGAAATCAAAGGACAAGGAGAATGAGATACAAAATGATAATGGAAACACCTATAGGATTCCTTAAAAGATTCTTAGGTACTTTCCGATAAAGAAAAGGCTTCAACGACTGTTTATGTGTCAAGAGACGGCGAGATACATGACTTGGCATGCCGATGGGCGTGAAAGTGATCATCTTTTACATCATCCAGCTGACGATCAAGCTTGGAAGGAATTTGATTCCTTATATAAAGAGTTTGCTGATGATCCGCGCAATGTGAGGCTAGGGTTAGCCACAGATGGCTTTAGCCCGTTCAACTCAATGAGCATTGTACATAGTACCTGGCCAGTTATGTTAATCAATTATAACTTGCCTCCTTGGATGATTATGAAGCTTGAGTTTTTTTATGTTAGCATTACTAATTTCGGGTCCTTCTTCCCTAGGCAATGACATTGACATATATTTGCAGCCACTAATGAAGGACTTGAAGGATTTATTGGAGTTTGGATTGGAAACTTATGATGCTTCCAGTAATCAGAGGTTTGACATGCATGTAGCATTGATGACTACTGTGAGTGATTTTCCCGCTTACGCAATGTTATCTGGGTGGAGCACAAAAGGATACTTAGCATGCCTTGAGTGTCATTATGAAACAGATTTTGATTGGTTGCCTTATAGTGGTAAGAATGTGTACAGGGCAAATCGTAAATTTTTGGATCCATTTCACCCTTGGCGTCATGATAAGAGGAATTTTGATGGGAAACTTGAGGAAAGACAGCAACCTACTCCATTGACTGGAATTGATATTGAGAATACGTTGCAGGATTTTCCAAATGAAGTTGGAAAGAAGAAAAAGAAACCAAGGCGTGCTGAGGATGATCCGAATCCGTGGAGAAAGATACCCATTTTTTTTTAGTTACCATATTGGAAGCATTGTCTTAATCGTCATAATCTTGATGTAATGCATATTGAGAAAAATGTGTTTGACAGTGTCCTTGGGACATTATTAGACAATTCTAAAAAGATCAAGGATCATATGAGTGCTCGTCGATATTTGGTAGAGCTTAATTTGATGCCAGAACTTCAACCAATAGAATTAGAAGATGGTGCGGAGGAACTTCCAAGATCCCGCTTTTGGATGTCATTGGAAGAAAAACGCAAATTATGCCTGGTCTTTAAAAATGTCAAGCTTCCTCAAGGCTATGCTTCTAACATTGGTCGATGTGTGCAAGTTGGAGAAAGGAAAATTGCAGGCTAAAAAAGCCATGATGCTCATTTTATGATGAATTATTTGCTCCCAATTGCAGTGAAGACAACATTACCCAAAGATGTTGCTACTCCTTTGATAAGACTTTGTGCTTTTTTTAAAAGTATATGGAGTAAAACTGTTAATCCTCAACATCTTGGAAAAATGCAATCTGAGATAGTTGAAACTTTATGCTTACTTGAGAGGATTTTTCCACCTGCCTTTTTTGATATAATGGTACATTTACCTATACACTTGGTGGGCCAAATTAAGTTGAGTGGGCATGTAAGTTCAAGGTGTATGTATGGAATTGAGAGGTATCTTCATGGACTGAAGCAAGATGTTCGAAATAAAGCTCGTCCAGAAGGCTCAATGGTAGAAGGATATCAAGCCAAAGAATGTATTGCCTTTGTAGCTAGATTTTTAAACGATCAAGCACGGCCATACCAAAGGTTAATGGTTGTAGTACATCACAATCATTTTTTCCTAAGGTAGCACGTCCAATAAAAGGGAAAGGAAGGACCTCAAAGAAAAAAAAACGTGAACACATAATTGATCGTATTACATGGGCACAAGCGCATCATTATGTCTAGTTCAATTGTGATTGTGAGGAAGTTGAGAAATATATCAGGTTAGATTACCAACCAAAATGTAGTTTTTTCTTTCTTTTTCTCTTTGTTATTAATGTGTTTTATTTGTAGTGATAATAATATAATCTTTTTATATTTCATAGTGAGCACAAGATATGTGTGAGCGCTAGAAGAAAAAGGAAATGGAATAATGCTCAAGATCACAGCAAGGATTTTGTGGATTGGTTTAGGGATAAAGTTGATTTGATTCTTAAAGAGGGTCAAGACATCATCCCTAACCATATCTTATGGTTATCAACAGGGCCTTCTCACATTGCTAAAAAGTACACAGGGTACTCAGTCAATGGTTATAGGTTCCATACCATGAAGCGACATGCAAACTGTGTCACTCAGAATAGTGGAATCACTCTAACAACCATGACACATAGCTTTGCGAGTTCCAAAGATCAGAATCCTATTGAGAGAAATGTTAATTATTATGGTTCAATAATAGAAATCATTAAAATATCTTACCATGGCTACTTTTGTGTGGCCTTATTTAAGTGTGTTTGGTTTCACTCGAAAATGGATGATGATGAGCTTGTTATGATTAATATGTGTAAGACCATTTCCAAAGAAGAACCATTTATATTGGCATCTCAAGCACATCAAGTGTTTTATGTTTAAAATCTTAATAGAGATATTTGGCATTATGCTATTCAAATCGCTCCTAGAGAGCTTTCGGATGGTATTTACATACAATTTTAAATAATTCACTAGATTCTCAAGATAGCTTATTTTATATTGCAATACTTTTCATATTCTATTATCTTTTTTGGAAAATAAACGTGTTCTCATTCATTGCCTTTGCAGATGAAGGGGAATAAAACAAAAGTTTCTGCTTCCCAAAGTCAGGTTACAGATTATGAGTTACAAAGGCTTCAAAGATTAAAGTTCATTGCAGAAAGAATAATGTCAGCCCAAGGATCGGGATCCTTAGCGAATAAGATACTTCAACAAAAAACAAAAGACCTACTTTCTCCAAGTGCAAGGTAGACAGAAGATGAATCCACGTCAGAGTATGATGGTGAGGAGGAGGGTGAAACTATGGAAGATGACAGTCTTGCGTCTGGAAAAAGAAAGGTAAGTAAACTTGTTCTCTTCCACCCCCCCCCCCCCCTTCCCCTGGGTTCCTCTCTATCAACATCAAGGTCATGCAATGTAGGCCCATGGCATTGATTGTTTAGCTATGACTTTGAACTCAATGTATGCGAGCTTGTGAGGCTACGACTGCAGTCTTCAGCCACTAATTTAGGGCCACATTATAGATTGAACGCAAGTTGTGTTATGTACGAAGTTTTTCTCCTTTTGTGTGTGTGTGTGGAGGGGACTATTCTAGTATATAATAGAGAATTTGTTTGAGCTTCTATCATTGACAGAGACGTGAGATTATATCCCTACTTAAAAACCTCAAGCCTTTAGGTGGTCCATTGTTGGGTCTAAAGATTCTAAACTAACTTCTATTTTTGTACTTTGTACTGTTTTTTGCTTTCTAGTTCGATAATTAGTAAAAAGGTTTATGGCGTAATGATACTACAACTCAATGTTGATATATTCGATCAATCCCCCCCCCCCTTTTGCTATCTCTTAGTGTTTCCCATCTACTGGTAGATATTTGATGTCTTCGAAAGTTAAAATTTTTAGGTGGTCCAACTTTTGGTAAGTTAAAAGTTAATATCCAACTTTTGGTAAGACCGTGATGTAGATTGTAGAAAGCAGCTGTTACTGAGGTAGTTTATGAAGATTGCAGAATTACGGCATATAAGTCATTCTATGGGGAAATTGTTCAGTGGGGGTGGCTAAATATGAAATGCTTAGCGTTATGATCTACTAATAAGAGAAAATCCACTGTTGATGTCTGGAGATTACGTACTAGCATTGTAATTGATAGTCATATCTTGTGAAAGTTGAAGAGCTCTGTCTGACAGCTGATCTATTATAAATAATTTATAAGCTTAAGAAGATAGTGAATCATTTGTTTTGGCTGTTTGGAATAAATTAAGGCATCAATGGAAGAGGTCAGATCAACCTAAACTTCTTTGTTAGATTCTCTGTTTTTTGTTTCTTTCTTTGGATGAAATTGATATTGCTTTCTTTAATCATTATGTCTGGGTGTATCATAGGTCCATAGTTGGTAGGTTGTATGACGTGCAATATTTGGCCCTTGCTTTAAATTTCTGGAAACTTCTGATTATGTTAATTTTTCTTTTTTCAAATATTCCTACTCATACTTTATTTTACAGTGGCTGGGTTTAAAACATTGAAGTTAGTATGCTATGTAATTACTTTTTGGCTTATGTTTTTAGGTCTCAAAGAAACTACATTTAATTCGCACACGTAAAACGGCTATTGTGGAGATGAATAGCCAGAAAAGGCAGCATGTTGATGACTTTTGCGACAATAACTCTGTTGATTTGGCCAAGCAAGTTCAGGATCATGGCATCCAAAGGAAGCAGCAACAGTAGCAAGTTGGGTAAAAAAATAAAGGCAAAAAAAGAGGATTTTGTTCTCCTCGTTCAATGTCCAACATACCTTGAGTTTCGGAAACGGCAAAAAGAAAACAATGAAGTGCTTGAAGAAAGTAATCGTTCTTTGCATAATTCCATGACAGCGCGAATACGATATGACAATGATGCGTTGAATGAAAATAACGATAATGATGCCATATATGAGAATGATGATGATGATGAGCTGAATGAGAATGATGATGATGGTGGGCTGAATGAGAATGTCGATGCTATTGATATTGATCGTGAAGGCGATCAAGAATTTGACCAGCAAGATGTAGCACAGTACGGAATGGAAGGTATGGTTTTCAATATCTGTCATTTTTGCTGAAATTTATACACAACTTCAATACTCATACTGTATTCAATACAACAGCTGTTTTAGGAAAAAATTACTACGTAAAATAAAATTTTGGGTTTTGGCTTGTTTTTTATAATTAATTCGAATAAATAATAATTATTTTGGGAGTTTCTTGTCAAATTGTTTCTGATAAGTTAAAGTGGCTGTAAAGTTCGAATTTTATACTCCAAATGAGTTAGTGGGGCTGAAAAGTAGCAGAAACAATCATAAAATCTTACAGTAGGAATGAATAGATAAAAGTGCCAGTGACTTCTAATTTCATATTACTAATCTAGTTTTTCCTATATTTTTTGCAAACGGTTTTCCTGTATTATTGCATACAGAAACAGAAAATGAATTATCTTCTAAAAGGAAAAATCGTTGAGGTCCAACAATGCTACGTAAGGTTCATGCGCATACAACAGAAGAGTGTCAAGTGATTGTTTTGAACTCATTGGGTCAGCCAGTTGGACCTACAAAGGAGATTGTCTTGGAGTTCAAGTTTTTTTTGGGAACCGTGGCAAGGGATTCTGAACTGGCTCCACTTAACTATTTTAACTTCCCAAGCCTACCACACATGACAAGATATGGAATTACGTCCAAGTATGTAGTGATATTATCTTTTTGCATTACTTTATTCTACTTTCCTCATACTTAGACCTCCACACGTTACTAATGTATTAACGTAAGAATTTGTGCAGGAAAAGTATATGGTTCCTGATGGTGGAATGAGTTGGGTGATGGATGCTGTGAACAACTGTTGGAGGTATCATAAATTCCAGATCAAGAAAAAACACTTCTATGCATATGATAATGACGCTTTAAGGTGGAAAAATAAGCCTGATACAATTTCAAATCTTTAGTTTAGAGATCTTTTGCTATATTGGAATACCGATGAGGCTAAGGTATTGTATTAATGGATTTTAATCTATTATCGTTGTTAATTTTAATCACATATATATATTTAATTGAATTATTGTTGGATTGTAATATTTTATAGAAAATCAGTCACAACAACAAAGACAATCGTCTAATGTTAGATGATATGCACACTTTGGGTCGTAAGTCAATTGCCATTATACGCCATGAATTGGTAAATACTTTTATCTAATTATAGACAATTACATGATCAATTTCATATTCATCACTTGTCCTATATATATAAGGCTTTACCCTTTTTATTTAACATTTATAGCGGCAACAAGATCCAGATAAGCAAGAGCCTTCCCTAACAAAGGTTTATAAGGAATCGAGAAAAAGAAGTTCTGGAAGGACATACAAACCTAGCTGTGAAAAAGCAAAGGAGAACATTATGAGTTAGCATCTTAGATATAATTTGTATTTGTGTGTATTTTATTCGATAATTGCTAATAAAATACTATATTTACCTAATAGGCCAAAATGGATGCTATGGAGTCTTCCCAACATGAAGATGGTAATAACTGCAACGACCCTTACTACGAAGTGATTCCTACTGCTAAATGCAAAAGTCGTGTGCATCTGTATGGATTGGGTGTGAAAAAGACAGATTTGAAGAAGAAAGCGAATAAGCCCGATTTCATATTCCCAGAGGAATTCATATCAAGTGTTACCACTGTAGTTTTGGCTCAAATTCGCGAGGCTAACCCTGGGATTAATATTGTGATTCCTGATGTTCTGCTGCAATCGACTCCGAATGATGCATCTAGTGCACCAAATCGAATTAGTAACCATAGTGTCCAATCTTCCAAATCAGGTGCAGCATGTAATCAGGTACAACTAATATTTTCTCCTGCTTTTGTGTGTGCTAATATCTGAGGGTAGACTGGGGTAATACCAGCAACATTAGGCAACCTGCCTAATTTGACATATTTAAACTTAGGAAACAATTTCTTAACTGGAAGTATCCCTGAAAATTTCTTCAACTGCACATCTTTGGAACAACTTTCACTCATTTATAATAATCTTACTGGAAAAATTTCATCTAAAATAGGAAATTTAGCTTGCCTCCAAATTTTTTTTGCTTATTCCAACAGATTAGAAGGTTCGATACCTGAAACTATTGGGAAGTTAACAGCATTGACTGCATTAGACCTTAGTGGAAATCAATTATCTGGAATAATTCCTCCCAACATAGGAAACTTGATAAACATACAAACCCTACATCTCATGGAGAATAAACTTACAGGAAATATACCACCTGAAATAGGCCGCTGCAGAAGTCTAACTAATCTGTTTTTTTAAAGCAACAAAATAGAAGGCAACATCCCTCCAGAATTGGGTAATTAACGTAACTTGCAAGACCTAGTTGATTGTTTGCTCCAGGTTATAGTTGTATAAAATTTGTATTCAGAAATCTGATACTTAATTTCTAACTCTGTAACATGTTTTTCATTGCATGTACCATTGGAGTGATAAAACATCATACTATTAAAGCTGTATTCTTGTTGTTTTCTTGTTTGGTTTAAGTGTCACATTGTCCTAAGTTTCATAATCGTTCTTGATTAAGTATTTATTTTGTCTCTCCTGTCATCTCTCCCACACTTAATCGAATTAAGTTTGTGTGTTGGGGGAGTATGGTTAGGACTCTTAGAAGTCTATCCCAAATTCTCAATCCAATGTTATGTTAGGAAGTGTAAAAATGTTATAGTAATTTGGAAATAGTACACGTGATTATTATTTTCAAATAAAGCGTTTAGCCTACATTACACTTAATTCAGTCCAAAAAAAGAGGGGGGGGGGGGAAACTACTGGCAAATGCTCTAGTTTGCTATGTATTTCAGAATCAAACTACTCACAATGAGTATTACCTATGACCCTGAATACCTATTAGTTCAATTCACCAAAGGGGAGATCGACCATTATTTTGGGGATATTAAGCAACAACAGTGAAGTTGAAGTTTGAGCAATGAGTCCGAATTCCGCTGAGTGGGCCACCGAAGCCCAACACTGACTTGCCTAGGTCAAATTTCGTTTGTATATCCTGCATTTGATATAGCCCAATGTTGATATTAGCTCTGTACTCAATCCCACTATTCACAAATGCTAGGCATAACACTCCAAGTTTGGCCTCCACCATAGAGTTCAGGCCAAATATGGACCAAATTGCATCAGACCCTCTAGCTCGAGGTCGATGCTGGGAACTCCAGGCCCCAACAGAGTTGAATTGAAATATTTCAACTCGTAGCACAACCCAAATGGTGCTATTGGCTTCACTTGTGGCACCTTAAAGAGCTGCTTAGCAAAAAATGAAGTAATGGCCTTGAAAGTGGATCCCTCTAAAATGGTGTAAGGTAATAGGGTGTTGAATGTAGCCCAATGCCCACTTTAGAATATAGCATGGGACTGGGCTAGGTAATTCTAAGTGGTTTAGTAATTCCAAGTGTATTCTCATTACCTAAGTAAACAATACAAGGGGAATCTAATAACATGTTTTGTTTTTTTCTTGAGCTCTACCATTGTTATATTCATAATGATTCATCAGTGCATGGGCCATAATACTTTATCAAGGTGTGGGTGAAATTTGGTGTTACATGTCTGTTATTTGTATCCAGCTATGCTTCTTAATGACAACATGATATTTACAGTGCCTTATGTGTATCGTTATATTCAAGTATTAATTTCATTTATTTTTACACGTAGGTGCATGGCGAGCTAGATGGAGATGAATGAAGTACAATGATTATATATTGTCATCTAACAAATGGAGCGTACACGTCGGTGACTAATTTTATTTAGTTCGAGCTTGTGAAGATTAGGATTTGTATTTTGGACGATTTTATTTAGCCAAAATGCCGTTAGATTAGGTATCAAGCTAATACAACGGCATGTACCTAATCCAACGACATGTTGGAAGCCGTTGTATTAGATGCTATAAGCCGTTGTATTAGGCCTAATACAACGCCAGCTGATGTAATGGTATACAGGCGTTGGATTCGGTCTAATACAACGGTTTTTAACACCTAATACAACGAAATTTGTCGTTGGATTAGATAAAAAATGTAGTAGTGTGAGCAAGGTCCTATAGTTCAAAATATAGATGCAGGTACACCAAGTCCTTGGCGGACAAGTAATCTTTACAAAATGTTTAAGGCAATTTGATTGAGTACAAATGAGCAAAAGGCACGAGCAACAGCAATGAAGCCGAACAATCAGAATGAGTTTAAAAAACTCTAACATCGATTCGAGCACAGCACGACAGAAACGACGCAGCGCGATACACCCTAACGCGGCGTGACAGCGCTGTCGCCACACGATGAAACCTGACATGGCACGTTGGACTTGAATTCCTGCAGATCGATTTGCTGGACGACAATTATTTACTCGAGCCTCGTGATGAGAAATTGATTCTTTCTAAAGTCTCGTGATGAAGAAATTGTTCTTCCTTAATCCTCGTGATGAGCAGTTTACCAAAGATCTTGATTTGATTGATGATCGGCCCGATGACGATCATGTTTTATTGATGATCGGCCTGATGATGATCACTTTATTGATTAAGTATGTCTAAGCATTGGCTTAGTACATTTAAGAACGCCTAAGCAT